TGCGTGGATCACACTCAGAAGTTGAGGATTATCGAGGTTTGCCGAGAGTACCACCTACCTTTCGTCCTAATTCGTCGACTATGGGAAAGCTTTGAGAGCGTCGAGACAAGTGCCGTTCTGTCACCGCTCGTTGACCAAGGCCTGGACTCATCTCACGTGAGGACATTGGCCGACTGCTACAAAAACTGCTCTACAACGTACAGCTTTTCCATCGCCCCTTTAACATACCAATTTCGAAGGACTTCAAGAGGCGACACCGTGTCGATAAAGCTGTTTACCGCCGCTTGCAGTGGGAGATGGAAATTCCTTTTGAACCATTCTTTTGCTGACGACATTCTCGAAAAATATCACTGAAGCGGAGACGATATTCAAACAAATAAAGGAATTAGGGCGGATAGGACGATTGAACCGGAAGAAGACTCATGTATATCTCGGCGAGCAGCTTGGGCCGCCTTGCCCCTAAAGGAAGCCACAGACCATTGATCAATATCGTCTTCGCAATCCAGCGGAATACGTCTCTAACGCAAATCGATGAGCTGGTCATATGATGAGAAGGACAGACCTCAGATGGACACTAAGAACTGAATGGATCCCTCGTAAGTTAAGTCCTCGAGAAAGGGCACCGGCCAGATGGGCTGATGTATTCGTTGCACGGATGGACCAGCTGAATTCTCGGTTGGTAACGAATAATGGATCTGGACCTCGCAAACGTCGCCGCCGCATACCAACATCGTGGATGACGCTAGCGAGAGACATAAACGGATGGAAACAATGCTAGGGCCTGCAGACGAGTGAAGACAGGCCAATGAATAAAAGTAAGTAAAAGCAAATAGGTTTATCGCACTTGAAAGAAATTGCGGTAAAAGACTACTCTCATTTTTGTAAGAATTCTTTTCAAGCTTATTTTTAATTTCCCGGAAAGGGCAGCCCATTGCAGGTGTTTATATCTAAGTGAAAAGAAAACTCCGCATTAACTCTGGTTCGGTTGTTACGTACTAAAAATGGAGACGCCGTTATTTTTCGTGTTCCCACATGTTTTAAATAAAGTAAGAAATTTGCTCTCCACTGCTTA